TTCACCGAGTATGATGCCACAACTCCTGGCAGCAAAACTAGGATAATTCAGACAGGTCTAACAGGATCAGGATGTGGAAACACGTCAGCTGTAGGAGACAGGATGTGGAGCAGTTATGGCTGGTGATGAAGTAGTGACACAGGTGTCCTTATTCTCAGCTGCTATAATGCAGCTTCTCAGTAAATAGCAGGAGTATCTCATTCTTTGTTTCTTGTATTTGTAATGTCAGAAATTCATTCTTGAATCACACCTAGATTTGTATTTTCTGGTGGCTGTTTTGCCAACTAGCATTGTGTCACTTCCATTTCCAGAACCTCTGCCCACTAGTACCCTATAGTCTGGCCAATTATTTTGAGCACACTTTAATCAGATTTGATATATTTTTTAAAATATGTATATTCCCTTGTGCATTACAGTTTAGCAATCTGATTTAGATAATTAGATCTTGTCCATATATCCAAATAATTCAGGAGTTTCTCCTGGTTAGCTGTGACAATATAAGATAATGGATTTGCAAGACTTTTTAACCAAATCTGAAAAACATTTGAATGTTGTGAGTCAGAAAGCTTTAACCTGAAATTTAATTAAGGAGTGGAAAATAGCAAAAGTGGGAGGACACAGGAGAGGATTCAACAAAAAAATAAGATCCCTGGGTCACTTAAGACTTTGCTCCTGTTAAATGGTCTAAAAATTTCTTGTCATAGTTGGGCCTTATAAATTGAATAAATTTGAAAATTAGGAAGGGTGGAAAATGAAAACTTAGTAATGTGATTTCTTTCTTCATTTTTAATGAAAGTGAGCAAGCTGAGGTTGAAGGAAGCACATTTGTAGCCAACCATGTCCTAATGAGTAGCATTAGGAAATCATATGTAAGTATTTAGTCTTGACTGTAGCAGACTGAATACTTTTGGTCTTGACTGGACAAAGCAAGCCCAAATCTATGAAGTATTTGGGTGAAAAAAACAGTTGGAAATTCTGGTTACTGCAGATGGAAACTGAAGAGCTATGCTCAAATGCTTGATAAATACTGGAAGCAGATGAGGTGGAAGTCTTGAGTTGTATTATCGGTGCTAATTAGAGAGGTGGAAAGATGAGAACTACATTTGTTTTTAAGAGCATCAGGTATTCTTAAAAATGTTTTACTGAATGTGGAGTAGTTCATTATTACTGTAATGCTGCAAACCAACTTCCATCAGAAACAAGATTTAGAAAAATTATTTGCATTATTGTAACACATTAATACTGAACTTAGATTGTGTTGGTAGACTTTAAATCTGTGTAGATGTGATGCTTAGGGACAGCATCACAGATGTTAGTGGTATACATGGCAGTGTTGGGTTGATGGCTGGGACTTGATGGTCTTAAAGGACTTTTCCAGACTAAATGATTCTCGACTGCTCTAAGAAGGGGCTTTAGGCACATGCTAAATTTGGCAAAATAAAATACACAAGGCTGCAAGTCTTACTTAACTTGTATAGATGATGTATCCATCTGAGTTAGTTAAGAGCTTTTAGCAGAGAACAGACCATGTCCAAGTGAAATACTTCAGGAAGATAGCTCAAAATGAAATATGACTCTCGGCAATAGAGGCAGTCTAGCATATGTATGTCTTTCAGCAGACATAGGAGATATGCAGGTACTTCCCAGGACTGATGAATTCCCAGCCAAAGCAAAAGGGTGTTGCTCAATTACATGTAATTATCTGTTTAATCTCTGAATCTCCTGTAGTTGTAGAGAACCTGGTACAGTCCAGCACTGTGCTCAGGCTGGTAGAAGGACCTGATGAGGTGCACGTACTGATGCTGTGTAGTGCTACAATAAAACTGTCACTGGAAGCAACGGTCTCAGAAAGTTAATGCAGGAAGGAACAGCAGTGACAAGTTTGACTGAAAAAAAAAATAAGGAAGTCTAGAATAAGCAATGTTATCAAATTGGTTTTCATCAACAGCTAATTTAAATGTAACTAAGATCTCTAGGGTTAAGGCTTCATTATCACCTTGTGCAGGCTGAGCACAATTGTCTTCTACTAGATGAAGATTTGATGTAACACCTATTTAGAGAAGTAATTTACAACTGTAACTCTTATTTGTATGGACAGAGATGTTCATAATTTGCTTCATTATGTTTGCTTTGTATTTGTAAAGATTGAATTTGATATCAGGGTATTAGAGCGGCAGTGACAAAGCCTTGGCATGCTTCACTGGCGAAACTCCTGGTCTTGTGTTTTTGGAAAACTGAATGCTATATCCCACACAGTCTTGGTTGTAGATGTAAAATGAGGGTATGACCATGTGTGTGTTATAAAAGTCTGTGAGCAGACCAGATTTTTTTCAGAGTAGATGCATACTAAGAAATGTAATAATCTTTTTGCAACTCCAAAGACACATACTGCACCTCAGTGTCCTTGACAGTGTGCAATGTGCTCCTTCCTCTTGCATGTTTTTATGGAAAAGATCTTCTCTGAAACTTTCATTCTGTGCTTCCTTAATTCATCCCTCCACTGAATGACAAACCTTTTTCTACCTAAACTGCCCTGAGCAATATCTTTCTGATTTTGTATCCTTTGAGAGCTAAGGATGTGTGAGAGAGAGATGAGGGACATCTCAGATGGTGTACTTCCAAAGATACTTGAAGTTTATGGAATTACTGTGGGGTTACACCAGTGAAAATTAGGTCATGTTCTGTACTTTAAAAATAATTGTGAGAATAGTCTGAAAGTACTCATTTTTCAAGTAAAGCTAAAAGGTAGTGGTTGGATCTTTACGTGCCATAGATGGGCTTGGGGGGGAAGACAGTAAGGCCTTTAAAAAATCAAACAGAACATTAGACAGCCAATTGATGCTGTGTTGTGGTTCCCAAATGTTACGTGGCAAAGGAGGAAAGTTGTATGAGAAGAGTAATGCTGAGGGCCACTGATTATTGTGGACTAAAAACTTAAGAGAAGCAGTAAAGGGAGGAGGAATAAAGCTGGCCTGTAGGACTTTGTTCTTAATTGTACTTGACCTGTTTTAGTTGAAGTAATTCTACTTGCCTCTAGCAACAAGCATTTCCTAATGTATTTTACCATTAGTTGTTGCATCCTTTCCTTGTTACTGAATGGTATATGTAGGCTGGTCTCTGTACAGTTCTCATTTAGGGCATCCTTTTGACTCTTAAATAACTCCCTCAGCACTTTTTTTTTTAAGGTGTAGAAATATCTGGATGTTTAGGATTTCTTAAATAATTCTGTAGAGCAAAAAGAGATCACATTTGAGATCCATCAGCTGTGAAGTTGACCCCGAAGCTACTCTGAAATATGTTTTGGATATGTCCAATGTTCTGTCAAAAAGCATCTGATTTTGCTTATTGCCATGGAGTCGTGGGGCTTTACTGATATACATCAATCCTGATTGTGCTAAAGTGTATCTGGGAAGATGTTTAAGACAACTTGAGCTTATTAATAGATAAAGGGAAGACATTTCCTTAAGAACTGTTACTAAAGAATAAATCAGAAGAAGCGGTTGCTTATCTGTAGTGGTCTGGTTTCAGCTTAATTTTGAGCACAAGATGCAGAGTATTACTGGTCTGTTGCTATCTATTAGCACCACTGCTCATGAAAATGATGTTACAGCTTGGCATTGGTGAAATGCTTTTAAGCAAGTTATTTTCAAAAAAAGTTTATAATTTATCTCTAGAAATTTTAATTGTATTTAATTTTAGTTAGTCTGAATTTCTTAATTATATTTAATTTAATTCATCTTATTTTGGTGTCTCATGTTACAAACTCATATAGATTGCTTTGAAAGTGGCATATCTGAGATTGTTCGTTATTCAAAATAGCCCCTGCCACTTCCCATGAAATATGCCTCAAAAATGTGCCCTGATTGCTGTGGCAACAGTGATGGCCCCACTGATGATCAAGCCTGATCTGGTAGGATCTGCCAAAAGGGTGAGATAGAGCCCCTGGGGGATTGCCAGGAAGTCACCAATTAATACTAATTGCATGGGAAATTATTATTATAACACTGCAATGGTTCATCAGGGACCTGGAATGAGTTCACAGATGTGCTGCACCCTAGGGCTGCATGTCCCTTGATTGTGCTTCTAGAAGAAACCACATTGTTGCACACTGCTCCATTCAGTTGCAGCATTTTAAGATCTGAACTATAATTAATACGGAGGAATGTGAACAGCTACCATCTATTGTGGAACTTGGTTTGGGAATATTAGAGTTAAATTAAAATTCCAATTGGTTTCAGCAGAGATCATCACTCAGGAAATTTTTTCATACTGAGAGCAATCAGCCATTGGAATAATCTCCACAGGGAAGTGATAATTCCCCAACACTGGACACTTCTAGAATTTGGCTGGACAGGGTACTGAGACATCTAGTCTAGGTCATGCTTTGCCTAGAAAGGTGGGACCAGATGATCCTTGAGATCTCTTCCAGCCTGGTATTCTATCATTCTATGACTCTTCTGAAGCTGGGCCAGATCATTTCTCAATTTCTGATAGGAAAGAAAACAAAGCTGAAGTTACATGAAATGTGTGCATGATGCACATGATAATCCTTTCACAACAAGAAAAATACAGATACCAGACTTTAAAAGGTCTGTCTGCTCTGCCTCTCTGATTTCCAAGGGGAGCTTTGCAGAAAACGGAAATTTAAGATGCTGCCATCTTCCCCACTTCCTAGTGACAGCTGTAAACATCTGCTGAGGATATCATTCATTGTCACATCCTACAGTCATTTGTTAAGATCATGGAGCATCTTTGACAATGAAACTGGCAATGCTGTGGGGAGGGAGGGGACAGCCAGCATGCTCAGAGGCTCTCCAGAGTGTGGCTTCCGAGGGGTGCGAGAGCAGCTGCTGCCTCCATGCTCCATCCCAGGGTAACACCTCAGCAGGGAGAGGAGTTTTCCCAGCCAGTTTGGAGGGGCGGGCAGTGGGAGGTGGGGTGACTGAGCTCACTGCTGTGTCACCGCACTGTGATTTTGCCTCTGTCCTGCTCTCGAGAAGGCAGACAAGGCTTCAAGTCATGCATCGCATTTCTGGTAACTCCTCCCCTGTTTGGGCTGCCTGCTCACACAGCCACCCACAGATCTGAAATAAAAATGTGGGAAGTGAGGCAGGGAGCACTCTCACCAGTGCAGATTCCACCTCCTCTCTAGGCACCAGGGTGCCCATCCTGTGCCAACACCGTCTTGCTCCTCCTGAACACAGCGAAGCTTTGGCTAATCACAGATCCATAAGCATTTTTCTCCCACCCGTTCTCATCAGCCTGTACTCCAGAAAGAAGAAGGAAGAAGAAGAAAGAAAGTCCAGGACTGTGCATGAGTGTGTCTTTGTGCCACTGTTGGCTGGGCGGGCTGACAGAGGCAGCATTGTTCACAGGCTGTGCCCGACTTGGCAGTCAGAGAAGGTGGGGATCTGCGCCGTGCATACGGAATCGGCGAGCAGCCGAGGACAGGGGTCCAGAAACTCCTAGAGCTGCATTGACAACAAGAGGCAGTTTCAGAGCACCGATAATAGCTTCTCCTGGTGTCTTCCGCACGATGGGGTCTGGGATGAGGAGACCTTGTTAATCGAAGGTAATGTTTGTATCTTTATAGTAGCACGGTAGTGATTGCTGCTATTCAGTTATTAATTAAAATATGGGTGATACAATGGGAAAAGTTATGAAGTTGGCTGTACTCCTTAGGAGAATAAAGCTTCATGGTGGCATCGTCCTGCAGCTGAGGGTTATTGAGGTTTGTTCCCTTTATGCAGACTTAGTTCGGATTACCAGTAATGAGGAAATCTGTATGTGTTCCCATCAGGAAAAAAGTCTCTTTAGTCTCCTTCTCCAGCATTCTTATTTTTTAAGCCAGAAGCTACTGTGTATATGCAATATTAAATAGATCTTGCTAATAGAAATACATTAACATACAGCCATTAAGCAAGGTAAATACTTCTTCCTATTACCAGAGACAGTTCCTCACCCCTGCAGGTACTTCCTGGGGTATAAAACATCCTGTGCAGTGGTAAAAATTAACATCTGTTCCACACACCTCAGCAGAAAGAAAAATCATTGTTGCATTTATTTTTCCAGCCGCTTTGTAATAACTAAGATTATGCAGACTGTGATAAACAGAATTTATGCTGTTGTGCAGATATTTCCCCTGTGTTCTTACTCCTTCAGTGATATTTTTAGTAGTTTTAAAAATTCTCACTGTTTTTCTAAAGTAAACACATTCTTTGTCTGAGTGCTTCTCTGGATCTCTTTGCTGTTCCTAATGCTTTCTGTCCCTTGCAATTGACGACTGTATTTTTGAGAGTGTATACTGCTATTTGGGGATGATAACGGACATGGTCTTAAAAGTGCTTGTCTTGGAACTGTGGCTGTTGTTCATTTTGTTTGCCCAGGTTGGGGTGAATGGGGTCAGCTGCGGTGGGTACCCCCAACACAACTCTACATCTGGATCTCTTAATGTTGCAAGTGGTGTTTGGGGAATTTTCTGTTGAATTTTTTTTTTTATTTATTTCCCCAAGGGAGCGTGAAAACGAGAGTTTAATTTGTGCACTGAAGTACTTCACGGTTTTCTGCCAGTGCAGCACTATGTGCTGTGTGTAATTCAGGAGAACGTAGCTTGTACCTCCTGTTTCCTTGATGGCACATAGCAGCCCCAGAGGACACACGCTGCTTTTGTGCTCCTGCTCAGTTTTAATCTTTAGGGAGCAACTGTTTCAAAGAATAAACACATTGCCTTGTAGGAGAAACTCTGGAAAACATCCTGCTAGTGACAGCGGCAGCCGCTGCCTATCATACTGCACATCCCTCTGCCAAAACCGGCGTGGCTTTGCTAGCCAGCCAGCCAAAGCTGGGAGCTGCAGGCTGTGTACCCATGGGCATGGCTGGGGGAAATAACGATTAAAAGAGTTACATTAAAACCGTGAGGCTGTTAACTGTTTGCTCAGAATGTGGTATCTGGATTTATCCTGGCCCTCAGCCTGGGGATTTGCAGCATCCCCTTTGTGCGGGAGCGTCCACCCAAGTTACCCACACACCACTCCCCAGGCTGCTCGGTGATGGGGCGGCGGGCCAAGGCACCAGGTGGGCAGGTAATGAACCTGTTTACTCCCTTCATGAAGGCTTTCACTATGGACCAATCCTCACTGAGGGAGAGGGAACTGTGGACTCCAGCATGGGGGAGTGGGGTCCCTGCTCCTCAACCCCTTCAGCCAGCAGCAGGGCTGGAGGGATGGTGCTGGAGGCTTCATCCTGCCTTTTGGGCATCAGCATTTTAGCAATACTCTTCTCATCAGGGAGAGACATTACAGGCAACACCTGCTACAGTAAACAAGGACATTTTAAAGTAATAATAAGGATATTTAGGCTTGTCTAATTTTTTTTTCTATCAAATGTGAGATATTTATGGTTGTTAACTCCATGAGAAAAAGAAGTGAAACCTCAGATTAGATTCTGTGTCTTTCAGTGATTTTCTTTCACTTGTCAAGGACCAGCAAGTGTGGAAATACCAAAGCAGAGCTGTTCTGCACAAGCAAAACAATGGGACCAGAATAATTAAAGGGGTTGCAATTCACGATTATTTTTCAGTCGATGCTTTTCTAAAGGGACTTTACTAAAGGCAGTCATATCAGGAAATAAAAATACATGGGAATAAGAGTGGGTTTTTAGGTTATATCAAAACTGATCATTTATTATTGTGACGTACTGCTTCATACTGGTATAGAGTGTTACTTTACTTTTACTGCTGTGTTTTAACTGGCAAACACGAAGTTTCATTTTCTGTTAGTTGAATAAAATGGAGCAACTGCGTCTCCCACACATAAAATAATCTTGCTTAAAGTTCATTTTCTAAATGCTGCATGCCTCATTTATACAGTGACTTTTACAACCCATTTCCTCCTGAGTATATGACACCAAGTGGGCAGGGTCGATCTAAAATAAATAGCTTTTGCTTACACAGTGAACTTTCATCTATTGTATATGTTTCTGTAAACAAAAAGATGCAGTAGAGTTTGTGATGGACGTAAGCACAGGCAGGGTCTTCTTAACCAGTAACTTCTTAACCAGCACATCATCATTTTTTTCAGCACAGAAGCTTTTGCTTCCTCGGTAGGAGAGCCTGCATGAAGACGTGTGTGGATGGTGTTGTAAGGTAAGGAATATACCCACTGAGAGCTGAGTTTTTTTAAGTTTTCCCTAATTATGCATTGTTATGGAATACCTGTGTGAGAAGTTGCTTCACTCTGTGTCTGGTTTCTTCTCAGAAAGACTTGCATATGGTGGTCCTTTTTGTTCAGTAGTAACAAATGCATGAGCAAAATTAGTAAATACATGAGTTTACTGTGTTCATGTTAGTATGTCTTAAATGATGATGAATTTCACTATCATGTGAAGTTTTATATGCATACTCTTTCTCTCCCATGAGGCTAAAACAGTGTCTTTGGGGAAAGGATTGTGCTGTCTGCAGAAGGTCCCTATGCAGCATTGCTTGCAGCATTTTATTGAGCTCTGTAGTGTAAAATTAACACAGGGAATCCGATGTGTTTTCTGATTCCCAGAAATACCATGGCTTTGTGGCCTTTTGCTGCCAGTTTTATTGTTGCCTTTCCTTCTCCACTTCTGTCTTCTCCTGCTGGGTAGCAGCCTCTATCATCTCTGCAGCCCTTCAGACATGGTGCACTCGAGGCTTTTACCCACAGGCAGACTGATGCTCAGCAACAGCATCATTCTTGCCTCCTTTCCCAGGACCTACATCTGTCATGTTTTACTCTGCCTCGTAATAAATAAATGGTCAATAAATGAAGAACCTATTTGAAATACAATGACTGGAAAATGTGTAGCTCTTCTGATTTGGGTTCTTAAAAGGCAGGCTTTCATGCAGTACAGATTACACAGCCTGCATGGATATTACAAAGTCCAGCAGCGTTAGCATAGCGTAGCTGTGCTGCTTGTTTCCTTAATCCGCTTGTTTAGAGATACCCAGAATACTCATCTTAATCATCTCTTTCCGCTGCATAGTAGGTACAGGAGGAAATACCACAGAGAGCCCTGTCACTGGGAAAATGCATCATTTGAATGTGCAATGTAAATATTTTAACTAACCAAATGTAAACACTGTTTTGCCTTTAGTATGGGAAAAGACTGTTGCAGTCAAAAATGAGTTGACATAGGAGTGACTCTGTATAGATGAGATACAAAATTGTGTTCACACATTCTGGTAATCAAAACAGAGCCCTTAATGAATTGCCTAGTGTGAAAGGAATACACAAGCATGCCTGACACAAGACGATCGGAAGTCGCTGCTGCATTAACATTAGAAGGAAGGACTTTCAGGATTCATGGGGATCGAGGTCCATGCGAGGGATGATGTGAGATGAGAGAGATGAAACAGTGAGAGATGTGAGGTGGTGTGAGCTAGAGAGAGGCTGGAGACCCTGGAGGAGAATCTAAACTGTAATTATACCCTGAATATCCATGCTCCTCTGTGCCTCTGGCTGTGACTTGTGTTCACCGTGCCAGGACAGTTAATTCAGAAGTTTACAAGGGTTAGAAGATGGTAGAAGCAGCAAAGATGCTAGATACAGCAGGAAGCACCTTATTTCATTCACAGACATTCTGTGGATTTTTCAGTTGGTGAATTCAAAAGAAAGCAGAGGTCTTGGTGAGCTCAGAGCAGTTGCTCATTAGTTCTGCCTACTAGCTTCATAAGCTCTTTGAAACATATATTCAATTTGTAGTTGATAGAAACAAGATATGGGGTTTAACTTTTGATGATGAGAATGTTCCTGAAAATAGTCCTATAGCATAGGATTCAAAATCGTCCAGATACCACTTGACTTTACTTGGTAATAGAGACTCTTAAGTGTTCTTTGGGTGTTTATCAGATTGCTAAATGGAAGAAACATCTGGACATTATTTCATTGCCTTTATGTTCTAGCCCATGGATTGTTAATATCAGAAGAAGAAATGGCACAGAGGATTCAATTAGACTCCATGCATTGCAGGAAACTAGTTAGGTCTTATTTCTATAGGCAAAGGCCTATGTACATAGCCAAGCAAGTCAGCTTTCATTACTGGAATAGCTGAGGGACTTTTAAAGTTGATTTTTGCTTGTATTACCGACAATGGGTTGTATATTAACATCTGCCTCACATTTGCTATTTCTTTGTTCTAACAGCTGTAAATTTACATATACACATAGGGCTCAGAGCTAAAAATGTCATTCCCTAGGTTAAAAACCCATACTTATTTTTTCATTCTCCTTGTTAGGAAAGAGAACTGGAAACACAGGGAAAAGACAAATGAGAAGGATAGCCCCCAGATGATAAGTGGTTTTAGTTGGAGCATGGATTAATCATGTACAGTGTAGCCTAAGAGCGCCATTGTCTGCTATTACCACAGCAATTTAGCTGTAGCCAAATGAGCAAATCTATTAAGTGTAAAAATTATCTAAAGAAAGTAGAAGAAACCAAATACTTCAGTTAACAGTGAAGAGAAAAATACAATAATTTTTTTTTTCAGGATAGAGGAAATAAGGAGCCTTTTTTGTGTGGATGGCTGAGAAGTATGTTACACAGATGA